AGTGTTTCTGTGATTCTGTGATTCTGTAAAGCTGGAGGACATACAGAGTCTGTGAAAAGCAGACAGAGCAGTTGAACGCTACCCTAGAGTTTCCCTCCACTGAAAGGAGCTGGCAACAGGATACTGAGAGCAAAGAGTACGCCTGTGGCACTGTGTCGTTCAGGAACACCAGAGTTTATTCACAAGAGTAGAGAAAATTAGTCTGTGCAGACTTTCTTGCTGCTCTGCTTAGAATGCTCTGGTATTCAGGCCACTTCACTTGGAGTTAACGTGGATTTCTAAAATTGCACTGTTGCCTGCGTGTTGACATACTCAGTTTTTCTGATCTCAGTTCAGGTGACAGCATCACAGTGTGCAAGAACAGCAATTACAGGTTGAATATCCATCAGCCCCAGTGCCCTTCAGTGGAATGCTTCTGCATATTACTTCTGAGACAGGATTTAGCCATCAGATATTTGACATGCATCTATGGAGCATGTATGTAGGACTATATTTCAAATGCTTATAAATTGGTCAAAACTGGGCAGTTTTAAACAAGGCATAGGGAACAGCACACATTTAATACTATGCTCAGTCACCCCTTTGCCAAATGGCAGAAACCACCTATAAGTTTAGAAACTCTGCAGTTTACCAATAATATTATAATATTTTCAGTGTGATCAGTATCACAGTCTTTTTCCCCCCTCTAATCTCCGTCTCAGAAGCTGCCAAATTAGTTTTACTAAAATTTACTTACATGTTCACCTAGTAGAGGGGTATATCTGGTCTGCAAAATTTAAGAATTTAAGCTGCACAGAGAATATTTTTTAACATTAGAAGCAACTAGAAACAGTGTTTTAAGGTGGAAAGAACAACATTAATTCTAGATCACATTACCAAGTCTCAGAGGAGATCTTTTATTAGCAAATATCATTGTCTTCTTGCATCTTTTTTCACTAACAGGATGAGAAGATTGCTAGAAGAAGGGAAAAACTTTTAGCAGAACAAAACCAAAAGAAACAGGAGGTAAGAAATTGTCCTGGTGTCAGCTGGGATAGAGTTAATTTTCTTCATACAAAGCAGTATGAGACTATGTTTTGGATTTGGGATGAGAAAATGTTGATAACATACTGATATTTTCAGTTGTTGCTGAGCAGCCAAGGACTTTTCATCTTCCCGTGCTCTGGCCTGCCAGCCAGAAGGTGGGGTGTGCAGGGAAAGCTGGGAGGGGACATGGCCAGGACAGCTGACCCGAACTGGCCAAAGGGATATTCCATACCATACTATGTCATGCCCAGTATATAAACTGGGGGAGTTGGCCAGGGAGGGGCTGTGGCTCAAGAACTAACTGGGCATCAGTCAGCAGGTGGTGAGCAATTGTGTTATGCATCACTTGTTTTGTATATTCTTTTATCATTATTATTACCATTATTTTTTTTTCCTGTCCTATTAAACTGTATCTCAAACCATGAGTTCTGCCCTTTTTCTTTTCCAATTCTCTCCCCGATCCCACTGCAGAGGTGGGGAGGCTGAGTGAATGGCTGTGTGGTTGTTTTGGCTACCTGCTGGGTTACACCACAACAGAAAACAAACTAATAAGACTTTAAATAGAAGTGTTTGTATTCATATAGTAGAAATTTCTAGAGCTTTTAGTCACAGAATTTTCAGGGCAATGTAGAATAGTAAAAATGTGATAGACTGTCAGAAACTTCTACTTTCAAAAATAATTTGACATGATGTTTAAATTGTTTTAGAAACTATTGACTCATGAACACTAAAATCAATTTTAAAAGAATTCTTGATATGTGCTCCAGTTCAGCAAAATACTTACAAATGTGTTTTATATGTCTAATTTGTAAGCATAAGAGTAGCCCCACTAATTGCAATTAGGCATGTCTTTTAAGTACCCTGTCAAATCCATGGTTAATCCAGAATAGGATTGTACCAGTTTTTCTGCACAAACTCAATTACAACGTATATTTATAAATGCATTAATGTGCTACTTGACTGCTGATGAAATTCTGTCAACTACACTTTCAACTTGTTTATAACAAAGTCCTGCCAAACTACAATACCATGTATGAAAAAAATTCTCCTTTTATCAAAACTGCAGTATAGGACTTCAGTTTTTTAAGCACTCTTGGAACTGGTACAATGCTTCACTGCATCACTATGCAATACCTCTGTATTTTCTTCTGAAATATGATTCTAGAATTTACTAGATTTTTGCTTACAATAAAGGATACCCCAAAATGAAGTTTTGTTGAATTAATGATTTTTTTAATTAAAAAAGAGACAAGAATACCATATGTTCCTTCAAAACATCTGTATCATAGACATGAAACAACAAAATATTTTACCATGGTAGGCTTTAGCAAAGAAGGAGCATTATGAAGCCACTGAGGAGGAAGATGAGAATGAAGATATTGAAGATATACTTGAAGAAGAGTTTTTAGATGAAGAAGAGGCTGAAGAAGAACAGGAGATTGATGCTGTTGACCGCATAAAAAATGAAATTGCGGAAAAGTTTGAGTCAGAAACAGACAGTTTACAAGGTGTAGAGGTACCTGTTCCACTGCCTATTTTGTTAAATTATATGATCACATGATGCAAGAAGAGTTTTCAGTTTTATTTCAGTTGTCAAATTTGAAAGTTATAGTGCTTAAACAATCATGCTGCTGTACTCATGATCTAAATATGGCTGTAGTGAGAAGGTATATACTTTTAAAAGTATATAATTTATAAGACTAATATTGCTGGGGCAAAAACAGAGGAAACTTTTGAGTGGACCTACCCAGTCTTGGGATCCTTACTTCCTTTTTGATAGGTCAGTTAATGTAGGCAACCAAACTAGAGATTCATAAGTATATGAACAGGATTTGAAAATAATTTTTAAGGCAAAATCCTTAATAGACAACACTAACTTTTTTGCACAGTTCTTAGTAGCGTAATTTTCTTGAAATCAGTGCAATTACATACGGTGAGGCAACCTCATCTAACTTGAGATATTTGCAACATTAATGCCCATGTCTAAGGCAGTTAGTAGATTGGTGCCATTTGTTTACTATATACAAAGTATCTTATTTCAGGAGGAAACTAATTGTGATTTAGAAGAAACTCTGTCCATTGGCCAGAGTGAAAGTTTACAGATGTAGATAGCCAAGACACAGATGTTAAGATTCGCAAAATGAATACAACCGTTACCAACACCATAATTGTAACTGATTCAAGGTTCATTTTATTTTGATAGTTAATGGATTAAATGTCAGATGAATCAAGAATATACTCCTACTATTCTTTGTACTTCAAGGAAGCTATAAGCTGAAAAGATCAATGTTTTGTGCTCAGAGATTCACCTCTCCATTAATTTTGGAAGAACATGAATTTAAAGTACATTCAATCTCCAAAAGTGACCATAAAATGTCATAATTTTGTTGAACTATTCAATGCATATAATCATGTATCCAAATGATAATCACAAAAATAATTTTAGGGGTTCTGAATGAAGCTTGTGGCTAATTTCACTTTTCTGAGTATAAACTGAATGTGCAAAATAGAATTGGAAAGAATTTAGGATAAAGCCCATGAGAGACAATAAACAAGAAAGCCTGCTAACAGCCTTAGCTCTTTACATGAACAATACAATGTTTCAAGTTAAAACTAGTGGAATACTGTAGTTCTTGGAGGATTTTCCTCTCTGTCATTTGGGAGGGTATCATTTGTTGCATTAGTAAACTGATGAAAAATTTGCTCAGAAACAGAAACAGGTAATTAAGAGAGTCAGCAACGTTTGTTTCTCTCAAGAAGTACATAAGTCTCAGCAACAACAGAGGTGACTACTGTCTTAGAATTTATTATTATATCGAGTTCTGTTTATGACAGTAAGTGGAAAGATCCAAGACTCTGGATCTATATAGATATTATATGTAAGTTGAGGAATTACACAAAAGTAGTATCATATAATAAAAGTACATATTGAGACTAGATACTACTAACATCCTCTAGTTACAGCTTACTCAGTATTTTTCCCATTATTTTTTTAATTCCAAGAACATTTATGCCTTTATAAAGAACTTTAAATAACTTACTATTTCTGATTCTTTATTCAAGACACCTCTTTATTGTTCTCTAATTCTGTAATTGTTGGTCCCCTTTGACATTGTGGAATCTTGGTCTTTTAGGAAAAACTAAATGATGACATTAAAACACAGTAGCACTTTTAAGAATATTAGGTTGCTAGAAAAAGTTTTGTAGAAAATGGTTTGGTTTTGTATTTTAGTCAAATAAGCTGGGGAATACTAAGTCACCAGAGAGCAGCAATATTTTTAGAGAGTAACTAAATAAGCCATCCTA